GCGACCCTCTCCTCCACATACGACCCTAGCCCGATGTACGCGGACTCGTCGTCGTACTCCGATCCCGGATACCCCAACGCCGCCTACGTCAACGCAAACTCGCAGCGCTGCGAGCCGCTATTTGGGCTGGATCGTCCGCAGGCCGCCAACCGGGGATACGACCACTACGACGCGCAGGGCTATATGTACGACAGCGCATATGAGCACTGGGACAAGGGGTACGACAAGTACGCCGGCGCTGGTGAGGGGCTCGATGCGGTTGACCACCGCTCGGTACTTCCCTTGGGGACCGGAAGCACGCTCCCGGCGCACGGGAGCACCTTTCAGTCCGCTATGGATGACCAAGACGACTTTGCGGATACGGGGCGAGGCGTGCCCATCTCCCACACGAGGGCCTGTCCTGGCGTTTCTTTGAATATGGGCCTCGCGTCGGGTCTGGCGGTGCGGCGGGCCAGAAGCGTAATGAGTCTCAGCCGAAGCCTGAGCGACGGGAGCGGGCGGACAAGTAGCGGCAGCGGGAGTGGTGTAGATGCGGAGAGCGCGTGAGTACGATTCCCCTTTCCCCTTTCCCCCAGAATTTCGTGCGGTCGTCCTATCCATTATTCTTCAGTCACTCTCTCCTCTCAAAAAAAAGCTTTACTGACCTCTTCCCGCTTGACGCACAGACCAGCAAGCGCCTCCTCGGGCTCGTTCCCGCTCTTCCGCGCGCAGTGGCCGTATTCGAATCCTCCACAGTCGCAGCCTCACAGCGCACCAGAGTACTCGTACTCGCCGGATTCCTACTCTCCGATTTCCCTGTCGCGTCCGCCGGCACAGAGTCCTTACTCGCCTCATACGTACTCCCCGCATCCGCACCGCTACTCCCCGTACTAGCGTTATTCTGGCGCTGTCAGTCGCCGGGCAGCCGTCGTTTTCACGCGTGGCGGCGTTGAGACCGTGTGCGACGAATGCGGGGAGGAGCGTGCTGGAGCCGCCCCTTGGGCTCGACGCTGGAGATGAAACATGGGGAGCGTGGGACCAAGAGCGCGCCCGTGGTCTCCCGACTCGACGAGAGCGGGTCGTCGGTCGTGTCGTTTGTGTCGCGTTCGAATTGCTATTGGCGTTGGCCCTGTATATAGCGTGTAACGGTGGCAGAGCGCGGCATGTGTATACTAGATCTTGAAATGAGAAGACTGGGGCGTGCAGAGACTTGTACATACCGACGCTGCCGGACGCGACGTATGTGTTTTCTTTCACAACTTTGTCGCGGTGCAAGTCTCCGTAAACTGAAACTCAACGAATCAAGGTGTTTGACATCCATTTTAGTTCAGGCAGGCCAACTTGCGGGCCCAAGAGGAGGTGGTGAACTAAGAAGAACAATCCTATCGTCGCGCCTTTCAGAATGCTGCGTTTGAGCAGCGAACTAGAAAAACATACGGATATCAATTTCCTGCGAATATTTTGGTGGACGAAAGACTTTCTCAGCGTGTAGTTGTGGGACAAGACGGGATATACGGCGAAAACGAGCGCGCGCACCTAATGGCAAAGTGCTGAAGAGACTTGTTCCTGGTACCGACCTAGGGACCAGGTCTACCGAAAAAAATTCCCATTTGATCAGATCCGAGCCATGCCGTCGGTGATGTCCGAGCATAGCCACACATCTCGCCGTCCAAAACATGAAAAATGCAATTCGCCTCGATCATGACGGCGCCTTCTCTGGTTACCGTCCACAGCCACACATCCGGACCTTCAAAACCTGCAAAGGCAATTCGCCTCGATCATGACGGCGTCCTGCATGGTTCCCGGGCATAGCCACATCGTAAGGCTGGCCGTGAACTCAACCTGGATTGCAAATCGGTCCTGCTCCCCTCCATCCTCCTGATTCCCCCAGCTCGTTTTGAACCTGGAACGTGGTAGCATCAGGCAAGCTCCTCGAGCTCTCAATAAATCATAATACTTCGACGTAACAACGACGAAATTGAAATTTGGCTGAAAGTCTACTTGGTTGATTTTGTGGACTAGCAACGAGGTAGTCGTCGGTCAGGAGGTACCAGGGGTGCCCGGAGGGCGTTATGAATTGTGGTTTGAAGCAAGTTCCAAATCAAACATCGGTCCGAGACTCCGCACCACGTGGCAAGGTACTGCACTGCCACCCCCTTTTTACTTGGCGGGGCTAAGATACGCGTTCAATCTGAACGTGCAGTAGTCGTGCAGTATAGCCTGTGTGTTAGAGTCTCACGATATACTTATAGGGATATAACGCAGCCCTTGACCCTTGATCGATTCTCTGACGCCCACATCCCTCATCTATAAATTTGGTATTCAGATGATTCAGCGCAACGACGGGGGGCCGGCGCAAGGAAAGAACGACTCGGACGTGACCGTTTACATTTTTGAGACTCGTACGGCTAGAGCTCAGATAATTTGGTACTTACTGGTTGTGAAATGCAAAAAGGCTCTCAAGGTAAGTTATGCGGACGCAGGGAATCGAACCCCATCAACTGCTTCAAGTTTGTCAGTCGTCGCCGTAAACAGTGCAGCGGTGCGCCATCCACCACGTCCGCTTTTTTTTTCACCTTTCCTCTAACCTAAGCATGCGTAGCAAATTGTGTTCATTCAGTATGCAACTGAGTAGTGTTTGGAGGCGCGGGTGATTTCTGTGACTTTTTTGCCTATCGTCGCTAATGAAAGGCGAGGGCGAGGGAGTCGAGTAACGATCGGGTTGTAATTCGTCAGAAAACTTGGTCGCTGAGATAATTCCGGCGCGGAATTAGCTATTACCCTATTTTCCGCACACAGAATTGCTGCCAGTAGTTGCACCAGACTCCCTATTCCAGGCTCGCCTGCAGGATGCTCAATCATGATGTGTTCGAACCGTGAGAAAAAGACCACGTTTCTCAATTGTGCGGATGGTTTTCTATTAGCAGGTGTTTTGAGCCATGCTCTAATCCACTCCCGCCGGCGACAGAAGAGGCAAGTATTGTGTCTACTGCAAGCTATAAAAAAAGGGGGATAAATGACGACGTATGCGGACGCGGGGAATCGAACCCCAACAGCTGCTCAGATAGACCGACCAAGACGTATCCAGTTCAGCGGTGCACCTCACACCACGTCCGCTTAATACTCGCTGCCCGCATAAGTGCCGGCACTTGATCTTCTTCTCCACTGTCTCGGAGCGACCAAGAATCTAGATCTTTCACTAATCATCGCACGCGCCGGATCGACTCAGTTCCAGAGGTCAATAGGATCGAGAACTTCCAGCGGGAATGTCGAAACTTCGGGAAAACTTCAAAGCTTGACAGATTCGGCTCCGCAGGACGTGGTTCAATCTCCGTTCGCTATATCGCGTGGCGTTCATTGTTTTCCGTCACAACCAAGACTTCTGTTCTCTTATGTTTTGTGGCGGCCCTTGTACTGGCGTGTGAAAAGTTTGATTTTGCTCGAGCCGCGAGCCGCGACCGGCACCGGCGCAATGCATTTCCCGCGTGGCACCGGCTTTTTACAGGGCGCCCTGTAATATTTAGGTGAGTGCGGACTCGTAGTTGAGGTCTGATCAGCATCGCTGGGACTGGACCTGCGCATGATTTCAAGATTGAACGGATCTGTATACCCTGAGCTCTTTTAGTTTATGCCCTTGCGCTTCCAGCAAATTCAGACACTGAAGCGCCACAAAAAAAACTCCAAGCGGGGGTCGTTCAGTTCAACCGTGAGAAGAAGAAGAAACTTCTCCCAGTCTGCTATGCGGGCGCTGGGATTCGAACTCAGCTCCTGCGGAGCACGCAGAGAGTGCTGTGCAGTGATACTATGTGGACCAGATCCGCTTTTCTTCATACCACCCTGTGCCACAGATATACTTTCAACTCCGGGAAAAACACGCATTGATTTATCCGAGTCAGTCAGGTTGAACTGTGGGGAAAATTACGAAAGTGCATCTACTCATATATGCGGCCGCATGCCATGGGCGTGAATACACTTCGCTAACCGCTTGTCAGGAATAACGAAGGAGCACGCCAGATTAGAGACTCGAGCTGGGAGTTTCCCGCTCCCGCATATCTATCAGGAAACTCCAGCGCTTGACACGTCGGTTCCGCAGGTTTAATCTCCGTTGCCTATATCGCGTGGCGTGGCGTTCGTTGTTTTCCGTCACAACGAAGACTTCTGTTCTCTTATGTTTTGTGGCGGCCCTTGTACCGGCGTGTGAAAAGTTTAATTTCGCTCGAGCCGCGACCGCCACCGGGGGAATGCAGGTCGCGCGTGGCAGCGGAATGGAGCATGGCACCGGCACCGTAGCTCTTAGAGAACCTGCTGTAATATCTAGGTGAGTGCAACGGAACTTTGAACGCCAAGGGCTCGCACAAGCCCCCAGCCAAAGTTTTTGAGCTCTTCGAAGGAGCAAAATAGCCTGGAAGCCAAGTGAGATTGAAATAGAACCAATTTGCCAGAGAGAGGAAAAAATTGGCACCTCTTCACAATGTGTACACGAAGAGTCGAACCCCGGATGGTAGCTCCGAAAGAGTCTACCTCTGATAATGAGCCTGCGCAATTGCGTGTCGAGCAACTCGTCCACTTCCTTAGTGTGTTGCTAATTGAGGTATATCAAAGTCTGAGCAAACAGGATCTCGACACGCGAGAGGTACCTGAGGAATGCAGCTCGAACCGGGTAATACAGAACAAGCGTCGGAAAAGGGAAAAAAGCGTCGCAATAATTCACTATGTGGAGGCGGGGAGTCGAACCCCGGAGGAAATATCGGAGTGGTATTTATTCAGTTAGCCACATTCGTGCGTAGTGCCCCACGTTGGTGTGTTTCTAATCGCACTGTGATATTCCAAGGGTGAGCAACTTCTGCCAGGAGGATTTCAATTGCGACGGCCCATTGTGTTGAAAATGGAGCATTCACCGTTCCGGCGCGAGATCCGCTACTTTCTCCGCGTGCCTGTGCCCTCCCAACACAGAGCTAGAGGAATTAACAGAACTGCGGCACAGAGGGCCGAGAAAAAAAAAATGCATGAGCACCTGGAAATGTGGACGCGGGGAGTCGAACCCCGGTTGACTGCGGACTACACATAGGACTAGAGAGGATATCCAGCGCAGCTGTGCTCCGTGCACCACGTCCACGTTCCAATGGCTTTCTCCGCGGTTTTACTTGAGATAGGATTTAACGGCACTCCGTTGACATAGGGAATAGAGCGACATTCATGAGATTTGTAGCACAGAATCGATATTCCGACCTTGGTTCCCAAGATCGAACTTGCGCATAGTACGGTTGACCGTTGAGGCCGGGTAAATCGTAGGCGTTTTATGCGACGTCAACGGCGCAGTCAAGATGCAACAGACAGCTCGGGGCCGGGTGGTCAAAAGCTGGCTTAGTTGTCAGAGTACACAGTGCATTAGTCTAGTTGTGATTGGATCAAAGAACAGCGGCGGACAGGGAAGTGGAAGATGCCGTTAATACTGTTCGGCTCCACTACGGCGGACGTCCTCCACCGCGCTTTGTTCCCTCTTGCTCTGAGCCTCAAGCGCTCGAGTCTGGCTGAACTGTGACTGTCTCAGAGTGACAGACCACGCGTTGTGTAACACCGCGTATACTCTGCAGGGTATTCACGGTGTGACGAAACATGTGGTTTGTAACGGCGCAGTGACTCCGAGTGAGTAGCTGAGTCCCGGGTCTCTGAGTCTCTCTTTCTCTCTCGGTCCTCGCTCTTTGGCCTCTCTGCCCTCCTCGTCACGCAGCCAAACTGCCCGTATATCCTCTGGACTTCTGCTCTCTGCCCTCTGCTCAGGTCTTGCATATACCGCGAGGCGAGCCAAGGAACAAGATGATGCACTCCGAGTCAGGCTGGTGTTCTGGTACTTCGAGGTGCATAGCCTCCTCTCTCCCCTTGCACTCGCTTTGCTTACGTTCTATCCAAGCACCTCTCTGAAGGCCGGGATTGGTACGTGCACACCGTCCATGTAGCGCGGCGGCTCCTTGCCTCTCGCAACGCAAGTCTGTCCACGGCAACGCAGCTAAAGCCCCACCCGCATCGCATGCGTGAATTCACGTCTCGCCCTGCTGGTGGAGCTATCATGCAATGCCAATCGCGACGTCGGCTGGCTCAGGTTCAGAACTCCTTCCCATACGGACTTGTCGCGGTCTGGATCTGTACATCCGCGAGTGCCCTGCCGCTGTGCAGTATGATTCGGTTGGCAGTGCCACCCTGTGTTCGAATGCCAGTTGAATATGCATTCATTGAGATCTTGTATTCCATTGACCACGTCGAGGTCGCCCCGGTGCGCACCTACCTTTCCCTCTCTATCTCTCTATTATCCCTATGCCACCTTTGCGCAGCTCCGCAGACTCCGGGTCAAGGTACTAATACTCGGAGTCCAAGGTACACTACCAGCAACATCGTCGATGTGCTGCAGCTACAACACTCCCTTGTCGACAACAGCGTACGAGATCCGTGCTCGCACATCCTGTTAGTACAGTCCATACCGAGACCTGGTCCTTTCCGCCAACTATATGACTATGGCCTCGCGTATCGGTCGTAATTCGTGTTTCTTTGACGGCGCACTGAGAGGCCGAAACAAGCACTTTACTCGGGTACAGCACACTCAAGCGTCGCAACCTTGCCGGATCCCCGTTTCAATGATGTTCTCTCCGCGTGTTGTTTCTCAAACGTTTTTCTAGCCCGATCCTCCGTCTTCTGCTTCTTCTCCAACTCGACTTCGATCTTTGGGCGCTTTTCAGGTCTGTGTTCCTCCAACAATTCTTGTTGCTTCGCATACACCGCCTTCTCTGCCCTGTCGAGAGCATCAAGGCTTTTCAAAAGCTTTTCGTTGTATCGTTCGATTTTCCGGTCTTCCCCATCGAGAACACGATGTTGAGTATTCGCTGAGGGCAAGGTTGGGGAATGGGTCGAGTAGTAGTTGGGAAAACACCCACATTTACGCTTGAGATTGGTGTACATGCTCTCCGAGATATGGCCCGTCTTGTACGACGGAGTAATGCCATATTCTTCGAACGTCTGGCTCGGAAAGTCAGTTACTTTCACCAGGTAGAAAATAGTATCAGTAGGAGGCTTACGATGAGGGTCTTCATCCTCGGAGCGTCGAACTTCTGTCCCTTCTGTAACCCACCCAGTAGCGTGCAATGTACGCCGTCTCTGTTCACATCAGCGTGAACGGACTCAATGAGATTTGAGTTCGAGTCTCCGGCATTCCAGATATCCAGAGGGATATGGCTTCGCTCCCAACAAATACCAGGGAAGAAAAACTGACTGGACTCCTTATCGTTGACCCAGTCTGTCAGCGCGACGGTCAAAAGGCAATTATTTTTCGCGTTAACCCTGACTCACCGTTCCCAGCTTTCCCACCTTTTTGTCTTATCATTCCCAATGTACCGTCCCAATCGTCATGCTCAACGCAGACGAGGCTTCGCATGAGCCATTTGACCTCGTCAGATACCTGGCACTTTTGGATGTTTCGAAAGTCGTGGACAATACAAACTCGGAAAACTCTGGAAAGATGTTCATACGGGGTCAAATCTTGGATATTTCGTTCCGGTTCATGTAGGTCTGGTTTTAACGGCATCTTCAAGGCTAACTGTTGCAGGTGAAGTCCGAGACCTGGGAACACGGTCACCTTGCATACATATTCAGTTGGTCCACTCGACACTTACCTTTTGCCTGACCGCGGTGCTGATCTGCTGTCCAGGAGAGTATCATGTCACCGTACACGCCGTCTGCACTTGCCCCATGAAGATGTCGCCATTTCAAGGATTTTCCCGTGTTGTCTTTGACGATCGCCTCGATTTCCTGAAATATGCGCTGGTGCGCTGCAGCTGTTTGGCGGTTTACATAGACACAACAGAATATCAGACCTGAGACAGATATAAGCAAAGAAAAGTTGATTGTTCCGGCTAATGTGCATGCGTACTGGTATTGGCATCGCGATCCATGCAAGCGAGCTCAAATTCCAGGAACAACGCGATGCGCCGGAATGCTATGTCGCTCTGGAGATACCGGCCAGTGGACAATAGCCGTCGACTGGCTTCTCGGGTCATGCAAATAATGATTCGGATTTTGTCGTCTTTCTGGTCCTTGTCTTCTTCGTCTTCGTCGTGCCGTGGTGATGTATTGAGATCTATAGTTATGATTCGTCGAATATAGTGTTTATCCTTTGGCAAGTTTGCGTCTTGTTGGGCTTTCAGATGTTTAACACCTGTGCGCGTGAACATAGAATACCCAATCTCAAAACGGTTCGACTTACCGGACCAGCCCGTGCCAAAGGGACAAAAGGATTCGAGCGACTGTTTAATGAATGCTCGGATGTGCGACCGATTTGAGAGAGAAACATGCCAATCAGCAAGAGTTGGGGAAACGATGAAAGGGAATTTTGATGTGAGGAACGACTGGACAATAGGGTGCCGTATGAACCTCCTTGGAGTGATGTCCGGAAGCTCTTCAGCTAATTTTCCTAGCAGTTCAAATATTTGCGCACGGACTTTTGGCGGTGTTTTCGTCGGCAATGGAACAGGATGTGGGTGATGGCCATGGGTGATAATGAGCACGAATGGGCACACAGCGCGGAACTCCGGCTTCGGCTCGAAGACTCGGAATTTACTGTCGCAGGGCATACGGATCATGAGGGGTTGGACAAGATTTTGGTTATCATCTCGATGCGGATAAGCTGAAGCAGAACATTCTTAGCCTTCAGGTGAGCATAGCAAAATAATCGAACTTACGACAATACGCTTTTTGCTGCGAACAATTCGTGATGGTTGAACAGTTGGCAAGGGGTCCGTACCCGAAGTTGAACGCGGATTCTTCAATTTGGGCTGCCTCTTGTTCATCCCCGCAAAACACAGCCTCGATGTACTCCACATGATACGAGCCGTCACCTATCGAATGGTCATGGAAATGGTCTTTGTTGATTTTGGGATTGTAATGTTCGCAGCTGAAAATGTTGCTTCAACTGGGAATGAGACCTCGAAGCTGGTGATGTACCTGATATACGGACGACCGTCATCGCCATAGTCAAAGACAACTCTACCTTCGCAGAGTCCATCTTTCATTCTATAGCCGCGCTGGGTTTGGAATAAATAAAGGGCCCGTGCATCCTTCATGTCTTCCTCGGTATCAGAGAAGTTAGTCGTTGTTTCAAAAAGGGGCCTGCTGCATCCGAGCTTTTGAATGGCCATAATATAGCCAAGAGTTTTGAGGAAAATGTCTCGCGAAGGCGAGACGAACTGCAAGCGGTCCTCGCGATCTTTTCGTAGTCTTTCTTGCACATTTTCCCGGGAGGCCGTGGTGTGAGGCGTGCTCAATTTCTCTATGTCGCTATTCGGGCATACTTTGCATCCTTCACCTAAGCATGGTTTAGCTTTCTTTCAATTATCTGCGGGTCGACTTACAAGTGGAATGACGATCAGTACAATCTACAGGATTACCGGCGACATCAACGAGGAGACGAGTCTTCACTGTTGCACCTGCTACAGTCTGTCCCATGCGCCCGCCTCTCGAATATGCAATGTTCAACGCAGGGTTTTGCCAATCCTCCGGATCCATTCGAAAGAGATGGCCAATTGAGCCAGTCGAGGATGTTTCCGGGTATTCAACAATATGGCCGACAGGGTACTCGTAAAGTACCTCAACTGTCGTTACACGATTGACAGCAACATTTGTGGAGCGTTTTACTGATGTCGCAGAGCTGGCGGAAATCTGTGGAATGATGCCAGTATCAGAGCTGGAGATCGCGGTGTGGCTCTCGAGATATTGAAGAGCACTTTCAAGATTCTCTTGAATGGCCCGAGGGATCTGGTTCAATCCCCTCCCCTCCCCTCCCCTCTGACACTCTTGCCAGTCTTGCGAGCTGAGGCCGAATGTCGACAAGATCAGGCCGCTGCGGATGCGCCGATGAAATGCCCTCTTCAGATATTGCAGGCTCCAGGATGTCGACAGGGTTCAGTAGATCACTGAGAGCACGCCGGTACATGGTCCGTGTAGCCTTGGACACAGGCAAGGGAGGAGAAAAAAGAGCAGTTTTTTTTTCTCTAATTGGCATCCGAAGCCCTTACAAGACGTGTAGCGACAGGAGTGATATCCGCCATTTCCGCCATTTAACTTGTACAGAGG